GAGGATATTTATATGCAGAAGTTTTCTTCAATTTTTTAGCGCCGTTTGATTGGTTGTTAAATATCTTGAATATAGTTCCATCCAATCAATGGGTCGTAACGGTCAGGTTATCTGTCCGCCCACGATTACCGGATAACCTGACATTCTCGGGATTCCACCATAGGGGACACTTCCAACCTGGTTCCCTAAAACGCCGCCGGTGGATTTGTTCGATCCGTTGGTCTGCGCTATGTTGACGTGAATATTTTTGCCCAGTTATCGCCTTCGCAAGGCCAAGTGAGTCTCCGAGACACTTCATGTTCCCGTGAACATGAATCTGCTGATACCTAGCCGATGTAACGTTATTCAAGTATATGTGAGAGCTGCCAGCAACGACAGATGCTTTGGTTAAATCATTATAATCATTCCTTCAAGTATTGCATCGTTATGTTCGGAGTTTACAGTGTGAGACAAACAAATATAACAACTTCGCCTCCTAAACCAGGGTTATGAGAAATCTGTCGTTTGCCGTCGGCCTTGACTCCAAGGGCCATGGTTTGAACTTGCAACTCTTCATGATCAAAATTCTACCTGGTCATGCGAAGTCGTTTCCAGAAATACTACCAATGTCAAGACTGATGAAATTGGGCGATCGGGTGACGATTCGGTGTGCTCCGTGGCATGTTGAATTTGCAGTCAACGATGGGGATCTACTTCAGGGACCTCTAAAAGACCCATCCGAGGACGAATTGTTTCGTGCACTTTTTATGCTTTCCCAGTTACAGTTTACAATTCTGGACTAGTTAGGTGAGATAATGCTTCGTTACGCTGATAACTTAACCGGCAGTTGGCATAACTTGCGTTCCAGAATCCAAACAGCAGTGTTCGTATCCCCTCGTTGTCGACGCCCCCTCCTAGTCTGTAGGGTTGCCTCGCTGTTTACCTCTCGTTACGAGAAAACTATACTATGGTACTTTGTGCAGAAGTTATTAATACCAGGCAGATTTGATGTTTCACCTAGTCGTTCATAATCTCGTATTCGATGATTTGAACTCTCTTCAAGCTACCGGGGGTAGTCATTTGACAGTTCAGACAAAACATCATCAGAATCGAGAATTTCTGCAATTCGTAGGCAGCTGGGAATATTTTTGGAATTCAGATTCCACAGTTCTCATTTAGCGTTGCACGATCGGGACAACAACGTCGATGGAATTTGCCAACCAAGTGGCAAATGCTAATCGCACTGCGTTAAGCCAAGCCCAAGCGAAGACGTTTGAAACGAAAATGGCCGAGTGCGCCGAGCTCGATGACCGCATTCAAACCAGTCTAAAAAACATCCCGACCTTATCACGTTGAACGTGGGCGGCACGACGTTCCGCAAAACCAAACACGCCTTATTGCGTGTCGAAGGTAGTTACTTTCATCTGTTTCTGGGGTCTGGATGATGGAAACCAGTCGGGGACGCGCCCTACTTCTTGGACCTGGCCCCGCAACTGTTTCGATGGTCCTTCAGTTTCTCCGCACGGGAAATATGAGGTCGATGCAGGGATTGACGAAAGACGAAAAGGTTGAGTTTGTGTCGACGGTGGAGTATATTAAGTTAACGTTAGACGATCAGGCTCTGGATGTCCGATGGCACCATCAGGCGCTTACTTCGCTGCTTTGCTTTGGGGCGATGCTTATCAACCTTCTCGTAGGACTTGTTGCGCCCCGCATTCCATCGTGCCTTACCACGTTGTGTGATTCCCCATCCCTTGGAATGTCGAATATCCTGGTGCGTGCTATGTACTGGTAGCCTCTAACGTATAAGTGGGAGTCGGGGAGTCGGATTATTTTCCAGCGTCGGCAATAACGTATTCGACTCGTACCAACTTGAACTACTGTACACTTGCCAAAAGTACTCAATATAGATTGGTTTAGCAACGCATCAGTAGTGTTAGTATGAAGTTTGACAATTCCTGTAAGTGGGCGGAGCCATCGACGGATAAATATCCGCTGACGTTATAACGAACGTTATTGATTACAACTCACAATATTCAAATTGAAAGTGTCCCACTGCCTTCCATCCTATTAATAGTATTTAAGCAGGACATTAATTTCTACAGTAAATACGGTCGACAATCTGCAACGGTAAAAGGAGCAGTATACAGCACTTATCCGTAGAATGTTTTCATTGTATCCGGACTATTCAGGACTTTTAACCTAATTACCAGGTAAAAAACGTAACAAACAATGATTTAACGTAAACATTTCGCGGGTTTAACTGAAAGAACCGAGGCGTTTAATAGGAAAACGTCACCTCCTGACAGGGGATGGGCCGATCTGTAGTCTTTAGATGGCTTGCACCATAAAACGCATGTCATCGGTATTTAACGTATTTGTTTTGGGGTTTAACTACGTTAAAGAATAAAACCTCCACTCTTCGATTTGGCCAGTTGGAGGTTTTTATATGACGTGCACCATACCGGTGTTTTTATTTCAATTTCAATTCGAAGTTACGGATATAGAAGGGAAACTCTTGCACTATCCGGAGGGTTGGTTGCTATTTCACGCGAAAGTAGAAATGACCTAATTTCTAAAATGTCCGGATAGTGTGCCAAAATAGCAACCGTAAAAACGAAGTTTGACTTTAACCTATGCTTTAGCAATAGTGGTCATTTTGCCTCGGACATCTCAAAAAGTGCAAATTATTGGGATCTCCGAGGCAAAACCCAGAACTTCGATTGTACCGTTACTTATATTTGCAGTACGGATATTTTGGGGGTTATCCGGATGATTTTACTATTACTCAAAATCGATTGACAAGGATACAATTTCAAGCCAAGAACAATGGCAGTCGGAGGCGGGAGTGCCGACGGGTCCACCGAAGCACGCGAGACGAAGCCGCGGTTCCTCGCAGACCCAGACGAAGCTACGTACTGGCAGCGTGTCAAGAAGACATGGGAGATGCTGGACTTTCGCACGGCATTTGCCACCGCCGCCGACGTGCAAGCGGCCAAGTCCGTCGTGTGGAGTGCGAGTACGTACCCCCTAGCATATCCACCCATACCCACACATTTCACGTGCAGAGAATGGAGCACCGATTGCCGACGAGACGCAGTACCAAGCAGCGTTGCATCTCACGCGTGCCGTGCTGCATCCCGACACTGGTTGTTGCAATACATCCATCCATCCTATTATAGGTCTCATGTCCAATGCTTCAGGCGACACGGTGTTGTTCCCCTTGCGGGTGTCCATGATCGTTCCGATGAACTTGGGGCTGGACTGCGGCATGATTCTGGCCTCCACCACGCGCTCCACGATCTTTTGGCAATGGTATGCTTGCCAAATAGTTCAGCGAGTTATTCATATACTACTACTAGTACATACTAGTAGTACTTAGACGAGATCTAGTAACGTCGATGTGTAGGCTCAACCAAACTTACAATGCGTTGCACTACTACGCCAACCGCAACGCCACCAACGAAGACACGAGTAACCAGCGCATTGCCGCATATGTTGGGGCCACGGCCAGCTCTGTCGCTGCATCGGTAAAATCCCCATTTTCAACCAAACTGCTTTGAAGTATTGTTCTTGTCCTTTCAGAGGTGCAAATACTTTGTGTTGTTGTACATATATGTATGTATATATATATAATACATCCAACATGGAAGGACATGAATAATACTTCATAGGTATACAAGCTACTCGTTCTTTGAAGTATTATTTTTCTTGTCCTGACATGTGCAAGTACTTTATGTTTGTTGTCGATATATATAATATATATATGTATTGATATTAGTATTGGTCACATCCATGAACGTTGTTCCATGAATTATTATTGTCTTGATCGATTCGGTGATTGGAAATGCTAAAGCCCATACTAGTACGTACAGTAGTAGTAGCAACAGCGTTTATCTAGCACTTTCCTGTACACATATCACATTCTCATGCTCTTTGTGTATTTATTATAACTGTATTGTACATACTGGTATATATAGCCCACCATACACGAAATTATTGCTCCATCCACGATACAAAGTGGTCACATCCATTATTCCCCCCACTTTTGTGCACACACATATACATATATATATTAATATATATTCACACTATCACACTATTTATATATATATTGATGTATATTGACATCCTTGTCTGAACCAGTTGAGCGTCCGCCGATGGGCAAAGACCCATAGCAACCCCATGATGCTTCGACTAGCCCCATTTGCCGCCGTGGCCGCCGCGGACATACTCAACCTGGTCGTAATGCGCCAGTCCGAGTTCCGCAGAGGAGTCAACATCTACGACGAGCAAGGGGAATGGGTCGGACTGAGCAAACTGTGCGGGGTTTATGCTGTCTCATCGTGCATTGGCGGCCGGATCTTGGCGGCGGCGCCCATTCTCATGGGTCCGCCGTTGATCATGCAGCTTCTAGAGGCCCGCACGACGCTCTTCCACGGACATCGACGGCGATTCCGCGTGCCTGCGACACTGTTTCTCGTGGGGCTGCTCATCCAAACGTCCGTGCCGCTCACGTTTGGATTGTTTCGGCAATCTGCCCAAGTGGATACACAATACATTGAAACGGAGTTTCAAGGGCGAGTCCACGCCAACGGCCACTTGATGAGAACTGTCACGTACAACAAAGGCATTTAATAAAAACGACAAGAATCGATGGCCTGAGCAGTTGAGTTTTATTATTGTGTTTTTGTGCATGATCGACGCCTATAGAAGTAGAAGTGTACTTCGAAGTATGATGTAACGTTTGCCTCGATTGTAACACGTAGTTGCTGGGTATACTCTACGACAGTAAGCAGCTGAGGTGGCGTCAGAAATAAAAAGTTAAACTGGAAACGATACCAAGTATGCTCTTGGTAGAGAGAAATTCTAACCTTCTGTTTGTAGCGCATCTTCACTTGCCAGTCTTATGTTCTTCTTTATACTGTACGGATAAACCTTCTATAGGCATATAGGACCTGTCTTGCCCACCCCGTTCCATCAAAAATCAATGGGTCGTAACGGTCAGGTTATCCGGTAATCGTGGGCGGACAGATAACCTGACCGTTACGACCCATTGATTGGATGGAACTATATTCAAGATATTTAACAACCAATCAAACGGCGCTAAAAAATTGAAGAAAACTTCTGCATATAAATATCCTCTTTATGCCTATCCAGAAAGAACGCAACTTACAAAACTCCTTGCGAATGTATAACCTGGTTGTAAAGCATTATTGCAGTTACAATCTCCAAGTTTCCGAGGTTGAAAAAGTTGCCTGCGCATGGAGATTTGTAAATTCTCCCGAGCCGCCACAAATGCGTCTTAACACTGTAAATTGAGTTTTTTACGTTATCGTTGAACCATAGCATTTTGTTTGAGCACGGCATGAATATGTAGCAGCCCTAACGATTGTATAAGATCAGATACAATGTTTTGATTTTAACGTAAGAGAGTCGTTTTATTTCGTTGTGCCCGAGCCCAATGGTAAATTGCGACGCATAAGCACAACCATGGGAAGAATCAAGTCTTCGTATCGTTCCTCGAGACGAAACTTCGATGGATACAGTATATGTCGTTCACGGAAAATTCAACATGCGACGGAACACACCGAATCGTCACCACGTCGCCCATGTACCGAGATCCACTTGGACAGTCGTCGCCGCATTCTCGGGATTCCGCCAGAGGGGGGCCTTCCAATGGCATTTCCAAAAACGCTGTTGGTGGATTTGCACGTTCTATTATATTTGGCCATGCACTAAGTACGTACTGTATCTCCCTTGAACTCGTGACACCAAGCAGTGGAGGTGCTCTAATTGGCCAAATAGTCCAACGATAGGACTTTTCGGGGTAGATCTGACCCTAACGACCCTATTTCAGCCTCGATGAATCCGTACAAGCATAGAATCATTCAATTCACAGTACGAAATCCGTGATTTCATACCATAAACAACATGATTTTTGCAGCATTATTCGTACACGTTAAACGACGGGGGTTTCGTGCTGTACATTGGTGTCATCGCCACCTGACGGACCCAAGGTGTCGGGTGGTGGTATGTTGATCTTTAACAACTACACTACTAGTAGTAGTACGGAGTATTACGGTAGTACTGAATGTAATATGATGTAAGACCAGTACAGTAGTGTAGCGGAGTACAAATGCTTCGTCGGGACATTGAGGTACCGAAATCCGTGCATTTCACTTAACGAGAATCGAATACTTATACGTATTCTATTAATAGTAGAAGAAACAAGCTGGAACCACACTGAAACCAGTTTCTTCAACAATCTTTCTGGATTCTCGGGATAAGAATATCGCATTTTGTGTCCAATCAAATGCCGATTACTACTATGTAGTTCTACTACGTAGTACTTCAGTACTTTTCAAATCTATT